AGAGTGATGTATGACATTATCTTGAAACCTGCCAACAGCAGCATTTTGTACTGCTGTCAATGTTGCTGAAATCCCCAATAAGTTTATGAATCACATGAGAACTCCAAGTTCATCTCAGTACTCACCTCTTTCACCTGGGAGATGTGTATCAAAGCTTCCCATATCTGCAAAAACCATTGATAGGGGTATGAAAATCCAGAGTGATTTCTTCATCGTATGGAGTAAACAATTATGTAAGATTTGATTGAATGAGTTAAAAGATATCAAGTGGAAAGCAGTTTAATCAAAAGTGTGTTAAATCATCTTTTGGTGGGAGGAATTGACCATTTTATATTGATTCTGTTCATCAAAAAAATCTATTGAAATCTTTCTTTACAAATGTTGATTATGGGGTTTCTATTCTTAGTTGTTTCACTGTTTGAACAAAATGATCTAAGGCTGTGCACATGATGGATCATCATCTATCAAAAACATCAAGGTGAGACAGAGAAAGCTAAACCGGTCAGAGCATGCTGCCTTTGATTTGCTGGAATATCATGGTACAACTATTTTCAAATCTTTATAGAACAAGATTGTGTCAATCTCACAGAGAACAGAACCATGTAAGGGGTCCCCATTCTTTGAGATATTGATAAATTTGTGATGTACTGCTTTATCAGATTATATTAGATAAGACTTTTCATACAAACCATCCTGTATTCCAATCAGCACAGTGGTATTCAACAAGCTCAAGAAGTCAGAACACACTTGTTTGAGTATGATATGACTTATCTTCAAAATCTTATAGATCAGGATGTTTCTGATTGATGAACAAAGAGCAACCACATGAGGGATTACTATCATGTATGATCAAGACTTGATGCACCACATTTACACATCACAAGTAATATTGAATAAGCTAGACAGGTCAGTACACACTGTGTCACTATATTGAGGTTATCATGAAATTATTATTATCATAAGGGGTCCTGAAGTCAAATATGTGACATTGGATGCCTAAACATGTTTGTAGGATGTGTTGGTGTATAGAAAAAAAGGTAATCTTGAAGCTTCTTACTTCCAAATCTGACAACTGAATTTCACTGTAAACATGCATACCAAAAGTTTTCCACCCAAATTATTTGATTATGAGGTTTCAACTGTATCCTGTGGGATCAAGTCTTGATGCACTGATTCAAAAAATCATTAGTGATATTGAAAAATCTCAACAAGTAAGAACATATGGTCAAACTCCTTCTAGATGACAGATTAATAAGATATAACTTATCCTCAAGGGCTTGGTGTAAATCCAGGTTGGTGTGGGATTACACCTTGCCAAAAATTTGGGTTGATTTATGCCAAAACTCAATTCTCCAAATTGATAATCACAATGAAACATTTGAGATCTTGTCTGATTCAAGAAATTTCTAATTTCTACCTGTATAAAATGTCCTTTTGAGCAAAAGAATTTTTCTGCTCAGACCGACTTTTAATCATTCTTACACCAAAGTCCAAAACAACACTTCTTTCAGAAGAATTCATCTGTCCAGAATGATGTGTCACAAAAACATACATCTTTGGGTGAAAGAATTCATACATCCCAATGAAGGTGGTTACAAATTGTTATACAACATCATGAGGGTCTCTTGACAACAAGGGTAAAATTATAAAGATCCAACTAAGTATTAGGATATGAGTATAAGAGCACCCACTATGGGTGCGGTAAACAGCAGTTTTACTGTACGTTTACGGCTAAAACTTATACAGGTCCACTATGGACCTGTCTTGGACATGTGGTCCCTACGACTGCATCAAATCATGAATCAAGCTTGTCTAACTTTACACAAGCTTGATTCATGATTTATCTTAAGATTTGACGCTTCAAATTGCAACCGTTGCTTGTTTTGTTGACTCTGCACATCCCACACATCATTGATTCATCACCACTTCAACATCTCATGCTTGATTTGCTCATTCGAGATCAACAATGGAACTTTGATTTGTATGTGGCATTAGGTGCAAAGTATTGTTGTACAGTTGTTCACCGCGTAAGACACGGTCTTGATATGAGTCTGGAGATGTTGAAGGAGACTTGTCAAAGAGGAAGTCAAAGGCTATTTTCTCATATTCTTTTTGCTCTTCATCATTATTTGAAGACTTCCAAAGAGCATTGATTGCTTGTTTCATTGAAGTAGATATCAAGATGTTTTCTTTTTGGATGTATTATTTGAAGTAGATACAATCTTCCAAGTTGTGATTTTGCCACTGTGGGATCACTTGATTCAAAGTGATCTATTGTTGGTAAATCACACAGTAAATCACTGAATAGTGAATTTCTTGCGGTAACTGATTTAGTTGTTACATGCATGATTAAATTTTGCGGTCGGGACCGCAAAATTTACGATAAAACATGCCCACCATAGTGGGTGCTCTAAGTGTGCACATTCAATTATAAGAGTTGTTCTATCAAAATCTCAGTTTACACACAAAAATAAGGATTCAGATATTGAGGTGCTTATTTGATTCTAAGGGTGTTGATATCAGAGTAATATAAAACATACTCACAAGAAAGATTATCAATCCTAAGACTCCAGCTAGGTGCAATTGACATTCAGGATCTTATCCACAGCAAGACACAGTCTTGAAACACCAGGAGAGAGCTCTTATGTAGCATAGCTGATTTCTCATTGACTGTGATCTCAATTCTAGAGGTGCAACCACAAAATATATGATGAATTTCATGGTTTTTTGTTCTGTTTACATCATGTATTGGTTGTGAAATCACATAAAAATCAAAACAAGCTCCATCCTGCTTGGCTCCCAATTTGCAAACAATGTTGGTTGAGTCATCAAATTCAAGTCCCAACTCTACCTATTTGAAAAGCCATAATTGGCTTGTAAGAATTCACTGATCAATGGCCCTAGCAAGATGCTTTGCTTTCCAGGCACCAGCATCAGCAGCAAGTGAGCAGATCATCGCTGTTGCACATGATGTAAACAAATAAGACATGCATATTCCCTTCCTATCTGTATACTGCTCTTGACTGAAACCCTTCTCACGACCCTCAGGGGCTCAGTATTAGACCAAGTCAAGAAACTATGATTATAAACCTACCAAAATTTCAAAGGAAGACTACTAGTATATGAATTATTTATGAATATATATTCACTATCATCCCTGGGTACTGGAAGGAAGACAGTCTCATGAAGTTGTTATGGCATCAAAATAACTCATGATTAAGGGTCACAAAAAACAAACTAACTTGCTTAACACTCAGTTTGATATCAAACAAACTTTGTTGGTTCAGACATCCATTTCTCAATGGTGTGCTACTGATTATGACCTCTGCATGGTCAAGAATTCTAGCATTCAAAAATTCTCAGACTCAAAGTAATTAGATAGCTTGAGATCTAGCTATGAAGGGCTCACATGCCTTGACAGGTTTAGATCACCACAATAAGCACAGACTTATTGTTATTTATAAGTGGCATATACTTAGTGTGGAATGGGGGTGGGCCCTTAGGCAGATATAGGGGACTCAGATATCCTCTGTCAGCCCTGATTCCAGTGTACAGGACCACAGACTAACAAACTCACATGTAGATATATGTAACTTCCACAGACCCATGAGAAAGCTACCAATTCCATCTCCTTTAGTATGGAATCTGGTTTTCAAAGTCACTCTGATTACACATCAAATACATTATCCATCAAATCAACACAATAATTGGTATAGATAGATACCAGCTCCCAGATGTGACATCGACCAAAAATTCCTTCTGGGTGCCTAATAATGTAATAGGATTGATAGGAGCACCCAGAAAAAATACATAATTTTGATATCTTTAGGCACACTAATAGAATTTGGTATATTCTAGCAAGATATGTTAACTGGATCTCATTGTCAAGGAATGTAGATGTTAAATGACAGATAATTTTGGGTATGCAATAAGCAATGTACAAAAATTGCTTATATGTAGCTCACAAAATATGGATCTCGGGTCAAAAGGTCTTCTGAATTGAGTCATAAAAAAATCGAGGACACGCCAAAGGAGACTTCGCGTCAGCCTTAATAGCTCAGTGGTAGAGCGTTCCACTCGTACGACAAGAAATGGAAAGGTCGGGTGTTCAATCCACCTTTGAGGCACGGTCTCTTTTGCAACTTCACCGGCGCTGTCCTGGAATCCGTCTGTATCTTCCAGTTTTGTGTGGGTCCAAGCTGGTCCAACACACCGTTGCTTGATGTCACGTTGTTGAGTAATGTTGGCAAAGAAATACCTTTTGGGGTAAAAAGCGGCGCAACTGAAAAACACCTGATAGTGAATAACGAAGGTAGAAGGCAACAAGTTGATCTTTGACGGCAACAGGCTTGAATGAAGATGAGATCGATCACCGACACAAGCGTGTTTGTTACGTAGTAATTGGTGATGTCATGCCTCTGATTGGGTGTGGACGATTGCATTGGGAGAACTTGGAAAGTGATATTTATTCAATTGCAGTCAAGAATTGGCAGATATACTACTTCGTGTTTCATGCTTCGTGTTTCATGCGTCATGTTCTAGCAAGTTGATGCCATGGATGAGCAAATTGTTACAATTGTAAATTGACAATTACAAGCTATTCGATCAAGTTGAAAAACCTGTAATCTGCAGCCTATGAAGCAAATAACAAGAAAAAGATCCAGTATGGCCTTATATAGCTAGTAGTCTCCTGATATAATCAGGCAATCAGCAATAACAACTTTGGCTAGCATCCGCCCTTGCAGCTGACTATGTAGCCGAGAAGAAAGAAATGTTTAGAAAGGTCTCTTACATCTGGACTCGACAAATGTGTTTGCGCGAAGGCAACAGGGACTTATATTCTAGATATCTAATCTATCAGCTTAGAGCCTGTACCAAGTTTGGACAAATTCATATATAGCAGACAAGATTCCTCACATCGAGACCATTCAAGTTGCGCGCGTGACTCGTGTGTCCTGCGGATAGCATGGAGGAGATAACAAGGTATGACTCACACGAGATTGGAGAAAGGCCGTAGGTTCTTTTCATTTCTTACATAATATCATCAGGATGTAGACTTCAACAAGGAGATTCAAAAAACTTGTACAGAGTGGAAGAGTCAAAGTGGATAATCTTTGACATGAAAGCTTTTGAGTCGGACAAATTGTTCAAACCCAAACTTGCTAAGAGTGACCCCTCTACCAGAGTTTTTCCAACCAGTCCAAGCAAGATCAGGCGAAGGGTAATCGCAGCGATTGACAAATACAGTACCAGCTTCAATTTGTTCAGCTAGAGTCTCGGCCAATTTGACGTCCTTGGACCATAAGCTAGCTGTGAGTCCGAATTCGCTATCATTTATCAAATTGATCGCTTGAGTATCATCAGTCACTGACATAACTGGGATGACCGGACCAAAAGTTTCTTCGCTCATCACTCGCATGTCATGCGTCACCCCGGTTAGAAGAGTCGGTTTCACAAAGTTACCGTCAGAAGGTGTCGTCGAGAATGTGGCATTCTCAGGAGTGACGTCAGATGCACCGGACGCTAAGGCTTCGCTGATATGGGCCTCAATCGTCTTCTTGCTTTGTCGACTAATCACGGGACCAAGCTGAGTGGATGGGTCGAAAGGGTCTCCTAATTTGTATTTGCTCAAAACAGCCTGGACTGCCTCCACAAAGGGTTTGTAAATATCGGAGTGTACATAGACTCTTTCGATAGAGCAACAGGATTGACCGGAATTGAAGATAGCGCCGTCAACAATTTCCTCAGCTGCCCATTTCACATCGGCATCTGATCGGACGTATGCTGCGTCCTTACCGCCTAGCTCCAGCCCGATGGGAACAATACGAGATGCAGCAGAAGCTTGGATGGCTAGTCCTCCAGCCAGGGATCCAGTGAAACAAATCAATTTCACCAGCGGTGACTTCACTATAGCCTGAATAGGTTCGATCGAGCCCGCGTGAAAAAAGGTGATGACATCCGGTGGTAGGCCAGCCTCGAGAAAGACCGCTTGGATGTGCTCAGAGATAGTCGGTGTCTGGGGAGAAGCTTTAAGAATCACGCTATTGCCTGCCAGGATTGCGGGGATGAGAGCATTGACGAGAATAAGATAAGGGTACTACTGTCCAAAGTTTCAAAAGTAGTTGCTCATATATCAGTGAATTTTGGAATTAAGGGTATAATTCTTATCTCACAACGCACGTTCCAAGCAAACACAATCAATACAGGACCTAAAGGTTCTTTTCGTATGTACCTTCGAAATCCAGCTTCAGGCTCCCCAGGCGTATCCGCAAGCGCATCCTGACTTATTCGAACCAGATATTCACCACGAATGATGGCAGTAGCAACCTCCTTGGCGGTGTAGGCAATGGGACGACCCATTTGCTCGGTCAGATCATGCGCAAGTCTGTCTTTCCTTTCAGATAGAAGTGAAAGTGCTTTGGTTACGATCGCTTGGCGTTGACTGAGAAGAGGATGAGTTTGGCGGAAGGACTTGAAGGCGTTGGTCGAGGTCTCAGGTATGGCGGCAAGTTCTGTAGGACTAGGCCCAAGACGCTCAAGTACGGGTTTGTTAGTCAAGGGAGAGATGGTGATGATACGTTCTGCCATGCTGAAGATAAATTCTTGAGGTTGAAGATGAAGAGATGTAGTCTTGGCTCTTGAAACGTCTCAATCAGTTGACGTTTCCTCTTTTCATCGGCTGAGCCTGCCGGCATCTCACCTCACTCTCAGCCGGTACCGTCGACAGGACTACAGTGCGGATATCTAGCAGGACTGCTGGCTACCGGCTGTGTCCGCTTCGATGGCTGCAGCCTGCCACTCCAGTGCCTCTCTTCGTCTTCAGTATTTTACCCACACCGGTGACAGTCATCGACCAACATTCGTTATGCAAGCTTCATCCTCATCAGCTGCGGAAAAACATCGTAGTAGGAAGTTGAGTTCAATCCTCAATTGCAAACCCGCACTTGTTATCGAATACTGAAATCCAAATATGAAATAGCTTCTACGGCCGCACACCACCCAAGCTACCCAAGAGCAGGACGGAAATCGAGATTTTAATTGAGCGCCATCGGTCAGCACCTCGGCCACCCTTCCGACAAAACTTCCCAGTCAACCTTTACTGACATGGATATATCTGATGACACATTGCGATACTCATATTAATAGTTTTATACGAGATGTGAATGAAGCCGACCTGACTTGGGAAGATCGACTAGCTAAAAAAACGTATGATCAGCTGTTCAAGGACCTTGCTCTATGCGATCTTTCACGTTGGAAGGAAGGAAAGGTGAGTGTCTCGACTTGTCTCATACATCTTTTACTATAGGCCTGACGAGTCACGGGCGGGGGTGGAGAGGACTTTGGCAGATCGCAATGCGTTGGAGAACCTCTGGGGAAGTTTTAGATGGCAAAGGTGACTCAACTTGTGCAAATCTGCGCTGCAAACACCACACACCAAAACCTAGTGTGGCATCGAATGAGTTTGGTCAACAACATGCTTTCATTTCACTCGATGGTGGCCTTCCTGCTTCTAAACCCTCAGTGGCTTTACAAGTGATGCAGACACAATTTGGCTATGTCGAAGACGGAGCAAAAAAGATGGCAGAAGTAAAGCTGAATCTGTGTCAGAAGTGCGCCAAGAAGATGAAGGCTTGTGCCAAACCATCTGAACCGGTAGCGCCAAAGCCATCCTCGTCCTCGCTCGTCGCCAGTCGCTCGACAGAAATTCATCAAGATCCCGATAGCTCAGTCGTCAGTCAATCAGAAAGGGCCAATTCTTCGCGACCTCGCAGGAAACGCTCACGATCGACCAGCCCTCGCCGGCGTAGGTCTCGTTCAAGGAGTCCTCGACGTGAGAAGCCGTCGACATGGCGTGCACACTCTAGATCGCCCACCTCAGATCGACATGAGCCGCTCCAGTCTCATGGGGAATCATCACAATCCAACAGCCATATCCAGTTGAACGGTACCGAACAACCGAAATTCGAACCTTATCGATCGACTATTGCGCAATGGCGGAAAAAAAGCTCAACTTGAACGACGGCAAGGCAAGCTTTTGGCTTCGAGCTGGACACGAATGATATTTTGGAAGATTGTTGATGTCAGACTCAAAGTATAGATTGTCGATTCAATCCTGAATCTAGTGAGTCGGGCTAGACGTCAGCTTGTGCAAATGCAGGTAGGCCTTCTGGGACAAAGTGTTAAGCGGGGCACTGTATAATCAGTCCAACTGTCAGTATTATCCTTGAACAGCTTGTAATTTGGTTTTTTGTTTTCTTAGTGTTTGTATCGGAAATGAAGCACGTTTTCAATTGACATATATTGTGAGCTTATAAAGTCACATTATCTGGCCATGTCATTTGTTGTATCATTCTCTAGTGGGTACTATGATACCTATCAACCTGGCACAGCTGACAAATATCGTGATTGGATTTGTATCAATTCTTGAAGTATTGTAGAAGAAAGGTTGGGGTACAGATACAAAGCTATTCACATACGCAATCAATTGAGTCGTAAAGGAATTCTTTGACGTAACCAACAACCCCAGCCACAAACCAATCTGTTTGAAAACAGATGCGCCAAGTGTTGCACACTCACAAAGAAAAGGTTTATCGTCAAGTCCATAGGCTCATTGCAAGACTATATATTTATTATCAGTAAATGATGGAGATTGAATCGCCAGCATCTTTACTTTGTTACTTAACATTACCCAGTATCTTCGACCTGCTGCTCAAAGTGTCTTCAAAAAACAGTATATGTACATGCCCTCTCGTGTCTGACAAACATTGCTGATCTTGAAATTTTCAGACACTTCAGATTTTAGAATTTCTTCCCCTCACCCTGCCTTGTGACACTCACTACCAGTGTTGGTCCTCAGTCAAATATAATCTGACATACATGTAATTGTTGGGAAGGTTGATTCTTCCCGCTCTCAAGTCTCGGCAAGTTGGCTACGGTGAGCTTCGGGGCAGCGCTATTCTCTCGCCTGCTGTCACAAAACCCGGCTCGGTCGGGGCTTCCCGCCACGGGAATCCAAAGACTTCGTCTCCTTTCAAAAAAGCTTCGGTGCTATTTACCGGTTTCAGAGCATCGGAGTCAGAGTTTTTCAGGTTTGTTCTCACAATGGGCTCGGCATTTGCTCAGCTCATCGGCGAGGTCATATCACAGAGAACATGTTGCGTGGGACCAAACTAAATGCTTTCTAAGTTGGACTCACCTCGCATTCTGGTAGCGTTTCTTGCGGCTCATTAGTTTTTCGGGTGCTCATGATTAGCTACCTGCAGTGGTACTTTGGAACACTCTTTCGAGTAGTCGGGAGCTCCGAAATTTCATGGACATCAGTATTGTTCTTCCTTGATATCAGAAGATGGTACATGAGGTCACATTAGTCGTTGCGTAGGACGTACATAGAGCCATCAAACATTGGTTTAATATAATCAGTGAAAGTGTCTCGCTCAAGCCCAGCATACAACATTCATTTAGACAAGATAACAATGCAATTGTCGGTGTAGCTAAAATAGGGGAGATGAGTCCAACCTTTCAAGGAATCAGATGCAATATGATGAGATCGGTCTAATTTAGATGAAGTCCCTTCTTGATCATCTTCAAACAAGGAGACAGATATCGACAACATCTGCAGTTCTCAACTGTGAGACTTGACTTGAATTCTGAAGTTTGGCCTTGTCATGTTAGCTCTGCGAAAGATTGATCCACCGTCGAATGGTTTTTGATGAGGTCTTCAATAATGAAAATTCTCTTCTGAATGTTTTGTAGTCTCCCTCGGTGTCATTATTTTCGAATCAAATGATGTAGTAAGCTGGGGTGATGGTAGTAGGTTCTCATATACTTCATAACCCCTTTGATAGATAACACTTGAGGAGGTAGATCCCACGATCCCGTCACGCGGGGGGGCGGCCGCCGTTAATGGCTCAGAGACTCCAACCTTAGGCTTAGGGCCGTGTAGAGATTGCTGCAGACACGCAGCCAGCGGATGCTAGTCAGAATTAGGTCATAGATTTCCACACAAGATGCACAAAGTTGCTCACCTCATGTCGTCTTAGGTTGGATGCTACCGAAAACGATTTTCCGCATTTCTTACAAGTGTGCTTTAGGTGAGGCCATGTGCATGTTGTGGAACATGAAGCCAAAATGGGTGGAAGTCGAGACATGAGATTATTTTTCACATAAGAGATAAACAAAAGTACACATTTGCGGGAATCGAGCATGCTTACCGGCTTCTCGCCGGTGTGAGTCAATTGATGTGTAGCTAAAGTGCTTGGTCTATCAAAACACTTCGAGCCTAAAAATCGAAAAAAGGTAAGCATCAACTTCTGCATTCATTCAGTAAGGAAGAAGGAAGAGATGATCAATCTGTATTGCAGTCTTCCCGTTCTACTCACAGAAAGAACATACGTATATCTTAGGACCCCTTCGAAAAGAATCACGTGGATCTCCTATTCGACAAGCAGCTTCTTTGGGGATTGTCGAGCCTCCGCTGGGGTAGGTCGCCCTGTCGCGAAGACTTCCCGCAGCTAGCGATTGGGAGCTCGAGCTGGGGCCTTCGCTTTTGATACCAGATTGCATGATCTGGAGGGACTGCGATTCTTGAGATTTCAGTGGTGATTTACACGTGATCAAATTCGGATATGAACTCGTGGTGTTTTGCCTATCCATAAAGCTGAGAGAAGAGGGTTCGGGGTTTGGCTGAGGCATGTAAGGTTGATAAGGGTAGAGACTTCCTTGACTGATAGGTCAGTTGAATTCAAACATTAATCAGTCTGCGTGTGCCTAGTGTGATTTTGAGAACGTATGACACCTTTTTGAGTACAACGGACCTTTGAATCTGAGAAGGTCCATATGGATTGTTTCGAGTGACACCAGTTACATGGTGTGAATGGGCGTAGTCTATAGGAGCATTGTGAGAGGCCGTCGAGGAGACCAAGTTGGTATTGAATTGACCAATTCTTGACTGAGATGATGCATTTCCAGGTGATGAGTTTACGAAATTCCAATAAGAGGCTGTGGGCGTTGCCCAGGAGAGACATCAATCATCGGAGTACTCTTCATCATCTAGTGATTCGTACCTGATGTGGCGGGATATGAAAAAGGAGTGGTTTGTGGGCCATGCGTGCTTTGTCCATCTGGTTGAAAATTCTCTTTCGTGCCAAGAATATAAATCAAGAGAGATACTGAGCTACAATATCCTTCACTTAAATCTTGAGTAAATACTTCTCACCTGAACTCTTCCGCCGATCATTCCATCCTGCGCCGCCGGACTATTCTCCACAAACAAACCCAGTGCCGTTCAGTATCAGTATGTTAGCTCCCGAAGAGTATGAGCAGGCAAAAAAGCTCTTGAAAGGTTAAAGACAGCTCAAGACCATTTTCAAGGTTACCGTCCCGGTCAAACTTGATCAGCCTGATATGAGATGGAGGAGACTAGCGCAAAGGGAACCAAAGACGATCAGGGCTGAGTTCCACTTCAGAGATCGGCAAACTTTGAGCGTGAAATCCTCTAAAAGGACGAAAGGCCGTCCTTCAAAAGAAAAAAACAATCCCTTGAGTCTGGACAATTGCCAAAATATCTGGGTTTACACCAGCTGACAAGAGCAGGCAAACTTTGTAGTCATTCTAAGTCCGAAAAGAACATGGCTCGGGCTGAGATGCCGGGATCCGACTCGCAGTATGAACGCACAATCTTATCGAGTCTCGCCGTAGAGTTCAGCGAGGGTTCGGAAATTGAGATTTATTGTTGATAGAGGTTCAATGACAAGGGGCGGTGTCTGGCAACGTGTGTATTTGATAAATGAGCGGTTCTTAACTTCTTTCATACTTATCGTTCATAGCCCGCACCCTTTGTCCCCTTTCTCCAAACCTCTCAGAAATATAGCCAAGGACTTACGTGATACTCCAGTCGAAGGATGCTAACGAACGGCGCTGAGAACTTGCGGCAAAGATGACCGGCGGGGCAAAAGATATCGGGTGCAATTTTAGTGATACGGAATCCTTTACCAACATCCGTTCTTTAAGACTTCTAGTAACTTGTAAGAGCTCACTCGTCACTTGTGTTAGCCTAGCAGCTCGAAACGCAAACGCTTATCGGGACTCTTGCATCACCAGGCAACGTGTAATCGTCCTTGCAGATGTCTGGTGAAGGCCAAGGCGTGAAGAGATTTGAGGTATGTCCACTTTTTGAATTTGATAGATCCACTACCAAGGGTTACAGATAAATTAATTAGGGGGTATGCTGAGATTAAGAAAAATATGTATCCTTGTGCACTTCCGTATGATGCCAAAATAACTAAACCTTGAATGTCAGTCGTAGGGTAACCTTAAGTCGGACAGGCTGGGCAGGCTCGAAGCTGGGTTCTATAATTGTTAATTCAGTTCGGTGCTTATTTCGTGATGGAACACATGTCCATTCTTTCTGAAGACAGGAGGGTCGCCAGGAAAACCCTGGTCATTATTTTAAACCATCTGAACTAACCTCCGACGTCACTCGTCAAATCAGAGATATGTACATTGAGTCGCCATTAAAATCGGTGGATAACGGGCTATCAACAAAAACTGCGCGCTTGGAGCATTCTCAGAACGATAACGACAAAGAAAATGTCGATGGCATGAAAGTAGAAGACGTAAGGGCAGGTCGGGAAGGCTCGAAGCTGGATTCTGAATGTGTTTATTTAGTTCATTACTCAGTTTGCGTGCTTCAACCAGGCTTTAACAGATGACCATTGTTGACTTGTATAAGTGATTGGAAGGAAGACGGGAGGACCTAGGGCAATAGCGGGGTTCAAGTCGGCCAAAAAGTGCCTAAAATTTTATGCACTTTTGATGCACTTTGGCTTCCCAGCCCTTCAATTTTTTTGTTTGAAAAATATATCCTTAGGGATATGCTTCTCGGTTGCGGCTTTCTGATAGCATTTTCAACATTCGAAAATTTAATTTTAAAGTAGCATTTTGATATAGGTACAATTGTATTTTAGGTATTTTTTCATCTTGAACCCCGCTGATGCTCGTCATTTTTTTCAACCGTTTGGACAGGTTTGGACTGCAAACGAGCTCTCAAAAATTGTACGCAGGGAACGTTGTAATTTTAGAACAATGGCCAAGGATTGCAAATGATTGTTTTGGAAGAAAACATGAAAGTGAACCAAAGTTTTCAGACGAAACAACGATCTGTGAGTGGGAGCAATTTTTTTTGGCCCTTCTGTCATTGATCACAAGAGGAGCAGGGCGTGGAACCATGTGACTCCATGCACCTGACACACTTGATTTCCTTTGAAGCTCCCCTCCTCATGAATCCCTTCACTGTGAGCCGGTTCCTTAATGCCGCAGTTTACTCCGGATGCCACGGAAGTCACATAGAGTTGTTGCTTATATTTTTGTTGAAAAATGAACATACCAGCACCTGGGAGCTGAAGAACGTCTAATCCTACATGACACTTTCTAGAAAAGCACAAACTCAGTAAGGCCTGAATCGTGCACGACGTTTGAAATGACCAAGCAATGTGAATACGTCGGAGATCGCAGGCAGAAGGAAGGATAGTGACTCGTGACTGTCTTTAACGCGCCTTGCATCGGTTTTTGGTCACAACGGTTTCCACAAAGTTGAATTGGCCTGCCTCGAAGCTGTGTCGCCAATCACCAGTCGCCGCTTCGGCGAGTTTGATTCTGTTTGATTGGCCAGTTCTCGGGTTTGGCACCAGAAACATCACGACATGACCCACGTGAAACGCCGGACAGGCTACCGGGAGTCGAACCGGTATGCATTACATGTTGTGTGTGTTCCAGTGTGTTCCCCCTATGTAGGATTGACATTTGAGAGTCCTACATACATGTACGAGACCTTTCCTGTTTCAGAACCATGAGTCTTGATCACATGTTGATCAGTTGGGTCCAGCTTTACACTCTTCTTGCCAATGGAGTCACTGAGTCTAACTGAGATACGTAGAGCTTGATCTCGTAAGTAAGAGTGTCATTTCCCAATCTACGGATCAAATAACAAGTTTTCAAACAATTGAGAGTATGTATGTACGTGTTCTTGTATGATGACTTTGTCTAGGACCCATATTTTTCATATGGTATATATAGTCAATCTTCTACATGGCAAGGCTGTTCAATTCACCAAATCAAAGATCAGGCATCAAATTGGTTTCACTGAATGCTATGAGATCACCTTTCATGCTATCTCAATAAGAATGCATACAAGTGAAGAAACTTTGAAGGGCCACCAAAAAAGTTGATTGCACATCATAATGATGCATGCAAGATTAATCATACTATGTTGTCAATATGAAGAAAGGTGATATGATTACAGAGGACATATAACCAACATAAATTCAATTTTGGAACATACACCAATATTTGACATTTTGAGTGTTTGGGTGAATCTGAAAGTTTGTTGGAAGAAATGATTGAAAGGTTCAATCAAAATCACAGTCATGTTGACTGAAGAAAGTCAAGATGTGACCAAGCAAAGAACACCTGCAGAATAAATGAGTGATGATAGGCATCACCACAACTCATTGGAAGGATTGTGCATTGCTCTCAATTTATATCGCAGCTTTAGAAATGTTGTGATTCTATCACTCAGAATTTTTATCCTTCCTCAGAGTGGATTTATCTGCTTGAAATGATATTATATGAGAGTCACTCTTGATACCATCTATGTAAATCCTGGATCAAGAGATACATCTATGTACCACAAGGTGTCAAGTGGAGGTGTGAGTGGATTCAACTATGTGATATGATGGATGAGCTCTGTATGAGGCAAAAAAACTTAGGCAAAGATAGAACACATAATGAAAAACAGGTTTTAGTGATCTATTCAGTCAGCCCAAGATGTGTAGTAAAGGTGCAAGGTGAGCAACCTTCAGCAGCATGATTGTCAAAACAGGAAAGATACATTTGACTAGACACGGTGTAGCATTGCAATTATAAGATAGAAATGACAAACATATCACACACGCATTTGAAGTACACACATAAATCAAAATGCACGGTTCCAAAGACCCTTGCATGCATTCCATAACTGCCATGAGTAGATACCAGAACACCACAAAGATGGACAAGTACCAATACTGCCACAAAGAATGCCACAGCAAATTAATGTCTCAGCAGAGTTGGAAGCCCTGACTCCGCAACATGAACTGTTACAATGACAACGTCCAGTTTCATCCAAGAGTTCTCCTTTTTCATTACGGAATGTCATCTTCCCACAGAAATAGCTTGGATCACAGGCATCCTTTGGTTCTTCAGTCATTTCGCCATTGGTGGATACTCGATAGGGCAATCCCCTCTGTTGATTGCGCATGGCATGTTTGATCGCGCGCTCTTGGGCTTCATTTGGATATACTCTATTGATAAACTGGGTAGGTGGAGGGCTTGTGACAGTGGGTGTCAACTCTCGACTGACTTGTTCGGATTTGATCATCATCCTTCTATTTGTTAAGCCACCATGAAAAAACTCGGGCGATATGGGCGCACTCGCATGTGTCGTTGAAGGTATAATTGGAACAGCAATGACATTGGTGTGCTTCAGTAAGAGCAAAACAGCTTGGAAGATTGGGGTCGATTTGATCTTGACCATCTTAGAAATCGGTTTTGATATTATCCGAGATTCCTCCAGAAGAGTATAGCGACTCTTGTTCACTTACGGGATACAAAGTAGGAAGCCGGGCACGTGCCCGGCCACGTGCCCAGAAGTCCAGATTTCCCGAAACAAGCTGAAATCTGGGCAAAAGAGTTTTCCCAGCTCAACGCCCAGTTCTTTGCCCAGTTCTCCGCCCAGAAACCGCACATCCCTTTCCATCCCCTCAAACCACGCAGACGAAGAACACCATCTTGCCTAAATTAAAATTTAGATTCATGTCGTCCTCTCAAGACTTAAACTCAGAAACCATCAACTCCCAGGATCCATCTTCGGAACCAGATCCAAACCCAACTCAACTACAACTCGATCCTACCACTCTCAGTCAAGTGCTCACGGGAGCAATTCAACTAGCTCAATCAGGCAGTTCAAGTCTTTCCAATAAAAACAAAACAACAAAATCAAAGATGCCTCGTAAATCAAAAGAAGTTCAAGCAAAACCTCGCTCGCCTCGTAAGTCAAAGCCAAAACCCCGTCAACGACAATCAAAAAACTCGAAAATCTCGAAATCCAACAATGAAAGCTCTGAAGAAGAAGACGACAAAGGCAACAAGACAACAACTCATTGGGATAGTGATGATAACGGACAGGGAAAAACTTCAATGTATTTATTACTCGAATGGCTCACAGAAGAATCCAATTTTAGTAGATTTAAAGATAACAAATCCAAAAAGAGAACTGTGGCTGAAGAGATTGAAAAATACATGATTGCAAATGGAATAATATGGCGAGATGCGAATGCTATCCGCAAAAAGGTACATTCAAATGTTATGTATAATGTTCTTAGTGTTAATTCTCAATATTTTGATTTATAGATTGCCCGATTAGAGGACGCTTGGCAAAAAGCTGACAGAGAACGTAACAAGACTGGTGCCGGGACTTTGAACACAGCACAGGAAATCAAGACTGCAAAAGGTTGGGCTGACGATGATCCCGAATGGCTGAAAGTAAAGAAGACGGCGCTTAGTAAGCAATCATGCTTTATTTTTGCATTGTTTGCTTCAGATATGTTTCTCATTTCTCAACTCTGACCTTCCTAGCACCTATATTGAAGAAGTGCAAATATTATTTTGAACTCGGGCCTGTCTTTGAGGCACGACATGCTAATGTCAGACTAGCTGTGGCGCGTGGTTTACCTGCGACAACTGAAGACGCCAAAAGTGAAGTTCAAACGCAGCGTCGTGATGCAAGAGAACATTCGGATAACTCAAATCTTGCCTATGAAGACAACCAGCATGGCATGGAGCGCAGGGCCATCAAAGATTCAATGCCGACCCATTCGATTGATGACGAATCAGATGAGCCAACTATGGATGATTTCAGGAATATCTTGAATCACGACAATGAGCTGAATGAAGAAAGTCAGGTTCCTTTCACTCCAACACCACGGATCCAACCTCGAGGTCAATTTTCTTCCTCATCACTCAAACGGTCAACTTCGAAAAACTCCTGGGATTCATTAAGTCAATCAACTTTCAGCAAGCGAGGCCAAACTTCTGGTTCAGCATCATCGATCCAGGGTCTCTTTCAAGAAAGGGATGTCATTTCCAACCCCGCGCAAGTGGGAACATCGACCAATTCTATCGAGCATGAAGCTTTTGCCAAGCACGGTCAAACTATGGAACGCATAGCTAAAGTGGTCGAAAATTTGGTGCCTAATGCACAACAATCATCTCAATCTGTCTATAGTCCCGAAGAAGTCCAAAGAAAATCTAAAATCAAACTCGAAATAGCTGAAACCAAGTTAAAAAGTGATAAATTTGATTTAGATTCGAGGAAGGAAAAGCATTTGCTTGAGATGAAACAAATGAAAGCCGATCTAGAACATCAACAAGTTGCTAGGCACGCTCAAATGATTAGTTCTTTGATGAAAGAACATAATATCAGTATTCAAGAAGCAATGCTCTTAGCTCAACAAGCGCAAGTGATGATGCAATCAACTTCAAATTCAAGTACATGAAAACTAGGTGAGTGTCTTTATGTTGTATTTCATACCGATGCAAATTAATCTAATTTCGTTTTCCACATGCTTCTTTTGATAGAGTTTTAATACAAACTTGATGAGTTAAAACTTTACTAAATTGTTTCCGAGAAAAAATGTAATTGCTTTCAGAATGCTCAAAAATAACTCTGTTGTTTCTGATTGTTTTAGTTGAAAAATTGTAATTGCTTTCAGAAGGCTTCAAAAAAACTCTGTGGTTTCTTATTGTTTTCCAAATTACCAAAAATAAAATCATATATTTAAAATTGAAAATTAATAAACCAATTTCTTTCAGATTGCTCCAAAAAAAATGTTTTCTATCTCTTTTAGTTAAGAATTCCAAAAAAATAAACATCACTTGATATATGTTTTTTATTCAAATAAAAAAAACATATAAATTCAATTGAGAAAAACCAATAAGGGGATTTACAACTTTCTTTCACAAAAAGAACTCGTCCAAAAAAAATTTGATTCTGAGGTTGATTTATCTTCATTTTGTTTGTTTTATTTTCTACTTTCTTCATCTTCTAAACATTCCATTTGTATTTAATCATTTTGTCTTGATGCTATAAAATCTGCAAATAATTGATCTCTTCTGCGTGTATCACGATCACTTCTCAAGATGTGATCATCTTCAAAGTTAGGTGCAACTGCAGGGGGTTGTCGAACCCTTGATTCGTAATGAAGCACATCGCTTATGCTACCTAATACGTCTGACCAGGACTCTTTGATTGAAATGAGAAAATTGTGTAAAATTAAACATACTTCGATCCACTGATTAGCATGCAACACAGTCAAAGCGTTTCTGATAACCAATCTAAGCTCTTTCAACGATTGAAAGCGACCCTTCAACATGCCATTGCAATGCTCAATTATCACTCGCAACGCACTGATCGCCTTGTTGAAGGCATCTTCCTCAGAGCGTAGGCTGTGACCAGCACAACGCTTGAGACAAGGTACAACTACATCGGATACCGTGTAAGCTGAGTCGGCGAGGAGATATTCTCCAGATTCAAAATAATCGTTTGGGTTTTCAAACAACTGCATGGACAAAACAAACGATAATCGGTTATTAAGTCAAAAATGAAAATCAAATGAATAGATCACCTACTCACCGCTGAAGAGCGAAATACCCGTTGGTCATGTACACTACCACACCAGCCCAATTCATAATAAGTCACCCGTCGATCAATATCACATACAAGCATGACGTTGTAAGCATAAAAATTTTTACGCGTCCAATAATCTTCAGGTGTAGAGCGAGGAGCTGTTGCCAGGGGTATATAAGTTCCATCTACAAAACCTACACAATCTTTGAAGAAAGAGATCGAGCTGGTTTTTTTTTTCAGAGCTGAGCGTTCTTGAGGAGTAGGCCAGCACATGTACGTCTCTTTCAAATCAAGTACTGCAAGGATGAAACGGTTGGTCCAATTTTGTACACTGCCCTCTGTGAATAGAATTCCAAAAAAATCGATGCAGGACATCAAATCAACAAATTATTCATTACTAAAAATCAAACAAAGAAAACGATTATACCTGAGCAATTGAACATTCTTGCGAGATGGAAATGGTCTCCACCATTACCAGCTGTTCCTAAGTTTGCTAGTGCCACAAGTGCCTGCCACCAGACAGGAGCTTGCTTCATGTTTGAGTTATTGTGGAAGACAGGATTGTCTTCAATCAAGTCTATCAGTTTATTGAAAGCCGATTTCAACATTCGGGCCTGCAAAAACCCACGCTAAGGACATGAATTATAAGTTATCTTTACAGATTTAACACTTACTAGTTTGATGAAACCATCGACATCTTCCAACAACACTTGAGAGAACCAAGCATTTCGCAGTTCCGTACGGCCACGAGGGATCCTGTTTAAAACATAACGTTTGTTATTTAAGATGTTGAGAGCTTCGTCTAGGACCTCAAGCTCAGAAGTTGCCTGTCTTCGCAGTCGAAATCCCAAACAAAGGAGGTTGTAGTTGTGATCCAAGGTCGGTAGCAATTCGAGAAGACCGACCAGAGTAACTAGAGCTGCCTTCTTTTGATCATCATTTTGTTCATCGTTTGTGACTCTTTGGCGAAATAGCTTCAGAGCGTGAAGCATCCGGAAGAGGAATTGGACAGCTGCGATGTCGACTCCAAAGTGTGCAAGGAGGGGTAGGTTGTTTTTTTGCAGAGCTTTTCTTGAGTGTCGTTCCACTTGAATTGAGCGTCTGAGGTCTTGCTTCCGAGTGAAACGGGGCATGGAGTTGATGCTGAGGACTTTGTAGGTTTGGAGTTAGAAAAGCTGGCTGAATCCGGGTGACCGAGGATTCAAAGCTGCAGGCGTGCCCGGCCACGTGCCCAGAAGTCCAGTTTCCTATTTTACAGCGAAAAATGAAATCTGGACTTCTGGGCACGTGGCCGGGCACGTGCCCGGGTTCCTACTTTGTATCCCGTAACTGTTGGCTATATGTAGGTTAACTCAGTCTTGAGGATCACAAACAATGGAAGTGATATTCAAATTTGAAAAGAACTGTGATGTTATAGTAGCTAGTAATGAAGTGTGGAATCTTTTTCGCCAAGGTGTTTGCGGGCTAGAGATTTATGCAAATTTTACTTTGGGGAAGCGTTTAGCGCAAGTGGGCATTTTCAGAAATTGGGGCACTCCGACCTCTTGAACATTTTATAATCACAGGAGATCACAGGTTGCTTCGTTGACAGAATTTGATGAGGAGCCTCATGTGGATATCACAGACAAGTGCCAATTCAAGTATTGATCCTTGTGTTGGAGTGGCAGAAGATCTGTGCAGAGAAGATTGGCCGCTAACAAATCATTAGCTGGCAGGACTAGTCAGGACTTGTATCACGCAGTGACCCCCGTGATTACACGATTCAATCCGTCAAGCACACACCTCCGCTTGTAGCTGATCATCATCCCAAACCAAAAACCCATCGACTTCATTTGGACAAGGCCTCACAACATGCCATTCTCAATATCATACGCACGAAAAATCCTAAAAGGTGCAACATAACGTTTGTGAGTGGCAGCAAAAAACCCCCAACATCCATCAGTTATTTGATTTGGTAAAGTACCCCCTCCATTCTGAAACTCTTGAAGACTGAGCACCACATTATAAATAACTTACATATCAATGTCCAAGGGGGAACAGAAGCAACCAAAACCCTATGTCTTCTACTGCCTCTCAAGCCAAATTTACCACTATTCTATCTGCCTGTAGTTAAGCATAAGACCGGTCTCATTTGCATTTTGGCAGGTTGAAACCAATTGAAGCCTCACTTCTCAATTTACTACTTACTGGAGCATCATCCTAACACACCCGGAGTCTGTATGAAGGCTTGGTGACAGGCCCAAGGGTGCATGGCCAATCTCCTGCATCTTTGTAAAAAGAAAAGAGATCTGGGACTAAAAAAAGAAAAGAAAACCGGGCTGAGTAAAACCACAAAAGTGAGATATATACATTGCCTAGTCTATGTCATAGTGATATTCTGATTGTCTCAAATAAAGTATTTGATACAGATGTGTGAGAGAATATGCCTTTCCCTATGATTCACCATCTACACCTTATTGCTTCATCTACCTGGTACTTTGTCTATTATGGCCAATCATCTCTCTACTGTGTTGGACAGCCTCCTGCAGCTATGTAACCAAACCACCAAGCCAGCACGGATGGTGGTTGATGCCGGTCAAGTGACCGCTGGCATAGCCCAACACTTCTTTGCATCTGAAGCTGAAGAGGGGCCTGAAGGAGGCGTTTTGAAGCCTGGAAAATCCTCAAACATTGAATGCAACCACAAGACTGGACACGAAAAGTACTGAATTACAACTTGACTGATAATCCACAATACACTGACAACATGCTCTGTTGTTGATTTTGAATTGGACCACTGTTATGGGACCAAATTGTGAAAGGCAAGGGTGCCACTATACTGTACTATTATAGGCATAGTTGGGTATAGTATATTTTAAACTATACTATACTATAATGGGTATAGTTGTTAGGATACTATCATGTTGTGTGGTCAAAGATCATTATTTATTTATTGAGGGTGATTGGTGAATGTTCACTTATGGTTATTGGATGAGTTGATGGTGCAGTGAGGTGGTTAGACTAGAAGATCTGATGTGATGTGTGGTTAGTGTAGAGGAATGTTGGTTGTACCAAGGGGGTTATTTGGAAGATTGAATCAAGGGATAAAATTGGTGAATTCTTGTGGGTTTATCAGTTCTTTTCTTTGTATTTCTCTTTTCCTCTCTTTTCTGCTTCTTTTTGTGTCAAAAAGAATCAGTAAGCTCCCTCTAATATCATCTTCCTGAAACATCACTATCCAACAAGTCTCTTTATTCACCTTTACTGATACTCTTATCCTCATCTCAGATCAAATTCATTTTATTTCGTTTATTACTTTTCTTATGTGTGCTGTTCACAATTTTTTTCAAGCTTGCAGGTAGTGATGGTCTTTGATTTACTCTATTAAGTTTTGGTTTCTTCTCTCAGACTCTGATTCTGTATATTTATTGCTTTCATTTTCTTGGAATATTTTTAGGTTAGTGATCAATTCTCTACGCCCTTTTTGTGGAGCAGTCAACTCCAGATTCTTCAGAATCTTGAGATAATTTTCCCTCGAGACCTTTATATGGTAGCAAGAGTGCAGCAATCCATTTGACCCATTTTGCTTGTATGAGTTTCAACAACACCAATCATTCTATCAAAAATTCACAGGATAACTCAACTGTTACCAAAGGCTCAAGCACTTCAAGTTCGGCCAATTCCTTTGGAATGTTACATCAGGAGTTATCAAATCCTTTGTCTTCTGACATACCTTAGGCTTTAGGTCCTTCTATCTCAAAGGGTGCTGCATCAAACAAGGTGTCTGACAATACCAATTACGGAGTGTCCGGCAATCAGATTCAAAAGATATTCTCAACTTAAGAATAACATGTTAAGCAAGTACAAGGTGTTGGACAGTCTGTCTGACAA